GGGACATACGAGGGATATTCAGAAAGTATTTTTCGTAGTCTTGTTGATTTACTCGTCACCATAAAAGCAGCACTCACACAAAAACTCCTCAAATTTATTGACCAAATGATAATTCGAGGGTGTCATGCCCAAAGAGTAGATATGAAACTCACCAATGTTCAATACAAATCACACGAGAACATTAGTGGAGTAATAGACGAACTATGAAGAGCATTCGTAGGTAACGGGTGCTAAATTGAAAAACATTTTACAAAATCTTATACACTTACTGCCCGGGCGCTGTTATGATAATATTAAAGGTGCACATTAACTTATATACTTAAAAAACAAAAAGTAGCTTCCTGAAGTATTGGAAAAAATTAGTGAGAAAGATACAGGATGCACCTGTACTTGATGTACTGCGGAGAATGACTGAAAAGTTCACTAGAAGAAAACGAGGTAGACCGAGACGGTCATGGAAAGAAGATATCGAAGATGCAATGATCACCAGAGATTTAAAAACTGAAGATTGCTTGGACAGAAAACGCTGGAAATTAAGATGCGAGAAACGGCGCCACTTGTAAGACTAGCCTATTGTATGCCATGTAAAATGACTTAAGTCATTTGCACACAATATGGCAAACGATTAGATCACAACGGAAATATATGTAGTGAATCTAAATCCAAATAAACGAGGACTTTACTCAACCAATCCCGGCTGGAAATGGGATTTGTTAGAGAGACCAATTTGCAACCATCCCATCATTTTCTCCTACAAAAAGCCTCACAACACAAAAAAATCAAGATATTAAAAATAACAATCTTTTATATAAGACTGCTGAGAGATAATAAATAGAGAGGATCAACAATTATTAACCAGATAACCCCAGTAATACAAATCAGATTAAAGCAGGGATGCTGTATGTCGCCTATCCTACTTAAGATATCTCAAATTATAAAAATGGAAAAAGGAAATATCTAATATGTCTCTATATATCATACGTTTTGTAAACGAAAAAGTTGTGGTCTCAAAAAGCTATAAATCTACTAATCCAAAAGATAACAAACTTGAGCAAGTTGATAAAATCGTTTACCTTGGACAGCAATTAAATTGTAACGCAGAAAGTCACGGCGAAATAAGATCTAGAATAGAGCAGGATAGAGCTGCTTTTAGAATGATGTCCAAGGTGTTATATAACACCTTGGAACTCAATACTAGAATAGTATTGATGACAATACTAGAACGTCTCAGCAAGACTACTGAGATCATAAAAACCATCAAGCAGAGAAAGCTGGAGTATTTCGGACATGTAATAAGAGGTCCCAAATATAGGTTGCCACAAATATGCAAGGAAAAATAGCAGGCAAACGCAGTCCAGTACGAAGAAGAACCTCATGGTTGAAGAACTTGCGAGCTTGGTATGGTGTTGATACAAGCTTGTTATTTAGGGTGGTAGTGAATAAAATTAAGATAGCTCTGATGGTAACCAATGGTCATTTGCACCTTGTTAGTAACATGCAAGGGACATGGTAGTAGCAGTTGCTAGTCGCAATGATGTGACAAAGTGTCAATTTCTAAAGTAGTTGATTGAAAAATGTCATGGGACCAAGATAAAATGGTGTGATGTCTTATTTGGGGAAGACGATGCTGCGGTGTGTAATAAACCTA